AATAGAGAAGTGGGCTCTGGGGTTTGAACTTGGTCTTGCGCTTGCTATGCAGGGCTCTACCACTTGAGCCACTCTGCCAGCCCCTCCATTAACTTTTGAACGCATTCTCCAACTATACATCTCCAGTGGGCTGTATCCTAAAGACAAACAGAAATGTACTTCAATCTCAAATTTTACTCAGTATGCTTGCCCTAGTGATACATTGATTTTATATTGTTGAGATACATATTATATAAAACATAATATATAATGTTATTTGGGAGCCAAAATTTTCACTGTAAAAACAGGAAAATAAACATACAAGTGTGGTCTTTAAAAATTATACAATAATACACAGCTTAGATAAAAGGTTTGTAAACCAAACTCCTTTTAGATAGGGTCTTGCTATGTTGCCCAGCTGGTCTTGATCCCAGGGATCAAGTGGTCATTGTGCCTCAGTATCCCAGCTAGCTAGGAAGGACTTCAGGTATATCACTGTGCTCAACCTTTATAAACCCATTTTAAAATTTGTTGTCTATAATATACCAGAATTTGGGGATGGAGATGTAGCTTAGTGATAGAATGCTTGCCTGGAACATATAAGGCTCTGGGTTCAATCCCCAGTACCATAAGAAAAAAATATTCAGCAGCATTTAATTAAAAAAAAGTTAATTTCAGCATTTAATGTTTATCATCAAACATCAGAACTGAAAATAATATACTCTCTCTCTCTCTCTCTCTCTCTCTCTCTATATATATATATATATGCTTGTCACTTAGCATTTACCTGATTATGTCCTTTTACTCTAGATTCATGTCATGTGAGACCATGTCACAGAATTTCAAGAATTAAAAACGACAATGCATAAACTAAGTCTCTGTAAACAAGAACTGCCATTGCTTGTGTCATCCCACGTATTTAGAGATGGTCAGTCACTGAGTAGTGAGGAATCTGGCCTCATTCTTGGGGAGGTCCCTATCAGAGGTAGGAGCATCTTCGTTAATTCATGTTGAGCCCCTCAAACCATACCTGACACTTCATGTAGCAGTGACCCACTGTGAGCGTCTGGTGCCTGATATCAGCAAAATCTCCAGAGAGGGGCCAAGTCCTTGAGAGAGTTCAGCCACACGGCAAAGGATCAGTCAAGTGTGCTGACAGATGAACCTCTGGACACCAAAGCTTGGGTGAGCTTCCCTGTGAATAGTCACAAGAGTGGCCAGAGGGGCCACAGGGAGAAGACAATAGAAGCTCCAAGCTTGAACCTCTAATATACCCTGCCTTATGTGTGTACTTTGTCTGGCTCCAATTCATTCTTCCCTCCCCTATAATAAATGTGGCGGAGTACAGTAACTTTCAGTTGGTTCTTTGTAGCTAATTATCAAACTTGAGAGTAGATTTGGGAAATCTCTGGATTTGTAATTACCAAGACACCCTTCTACAGGAGAAACTCCTGTCTGTGGTAATTGAAGGCAATTTGTTTCTTGTTATTTAGTGGGGAGGGCTACTGGGGTTTGAACTCAGGGCCTCATGCTTGCCACTGAGCCATTCCACCAGCCCTGTTTCTTTCTTGACAACATTCTTTGTCAAAAGTCTTGCCTTGAAGGGATTTTCTTTTTAAGGTAAAGTCCAAAGCTAGCACTGATCACGTATCCTGACCCTGTTGAATGGTGGTAGTATGTGTAAGATTTAGATTATGACACATATTTGCATAGCACTTGGAATTGAGCAAGGTGATTTTTTTTTCCTTTTCTGTGTTGGGGGAGCATGAGTGAGGGGGAAGCCAGGTCTTGCTATGTAGCCGCAGGCTGACCTGGAACATGTATTCCTCCTGGCTCAGCCTCCTGTATGCTGGAATTACAGGGGTATGCCACCACACCTGGCTTATGATGTTTCCAACAAAAGTATTCTAGTTCAAAAAACTAACCTTAAACATTATCAGTTAGTGTTTTCATGAGAAGTTACCAAGGGTAGAGAAAAAATATTAACTTATACATACAATGCTAATATTGTTATTTTTGTAATCTGTTAATAACATCATTTTGTGTATGATTATAAAATCTTCATGTTGCTTACTACGCTTGCTCTCTAGGCATTGAACTGATAATAATAACAACAGAAGCAACTAACTCAAATTGTAAAGTCAATGTATATAGAAGTACTGTACTTACTTAACCATAAGGCAAGCAGTTATTTTATTTAAAGAAAGTACATTTACACTATGATCATCATATAGGTAGAGAAACTCTTAAGTAGTTTAAATAAAACCCAGTCTTTTATGGAAAAGTATAGGCTAGAGGAAAGCAAGCAGGATGACAAGATACAAAATTAGCGAGAGGTAAAAATCACCAATTCATTTTTGATATATAAAAAGAAAGGAGAGGCTAATTCATAGATTTTAAGTCACACGTACAAGTAAAAAGGGAAACAAGAAAATATTGGGGAATCTTATGTAGTTATTTATGAAAATAATCTATTTCAATCATCTTTAAATAGAGTATCAAAAAATGATGAGAAATTTATTAAAAAGCCATTTAACAAAGACCAGTTTGTACATTCCTTTGAATTATATCCATAAAAAAATGAAATATAAAAATCACACTCTCAAACCCAAAAGAATCATTCTAGAAAAATGAAGTACAGACATAGACAAACTCAGGATCCAAGTCATTTAAAAATATTTTTTAAATCACAGTAAATTTAGCTTATAATCAATGAAACAAGTGACAGTATATAACCATTGAAAAGTTTCAAAAAGACGATTGATGGTGTGATGGTGCCACTATTTAAGTACTGTTCACTAATGCTTTTCTACTATACCTATTTTAATTCTGTTACATAATGGACTTAAAGAGCAAGTGTTGAATCAACCAAAAAATGGAATTGTAGTTATTCTTCAAATATCCTTGTTTTGCCCACGTATCTAAGTTGTAAATTATAGAAATACCCTCCAGAAGTCAGGTACTTGGTAAAGCAAGGCACATAGGACCAGATTTTGATAAGGGTGCTTTCTCTGTGGTCCTATAAATACTTTAGAATATCCTGGAGATTCGTAAGATGACATTCAATATAGCATAATTTTTATAAACCTTTTCTTATGTAAAGCACACATCCATAGTAATTATTTTTACACCTAATGTTTAAGTGATGCCAAATTCTTTAAAATAAACTCAGTTTTAAAAAGTCAGTGGAATGTACAATGATGTTTTAGAAGTCTAGTAATTTAATATGGAAGAATATTCGGTAGTATACCAAGCGTACAGAACACAATGTCAGTTTCCTTTCAGATTGTTATTAGAACCTAGTTTAAATATCAAACTGTCTTTCCTTTCTACGGACTTCTATGACATTCGATATACATTGATGTAAACACTTAAGTTTTGCATATCTAACGTATTCGATCATAAAGTAACTTAGGACTTCTCTAAAATCATTCACTAAAGAAACACTTTCTATTACATTCCATACTTTTCTTCCCAATACCATTAATTTTTAATGGAATTAACAAACATTCTTCTCCCATGAATTAACATATTTTCACAATGAACAAAGTAGTTGAGACATAGCAAATGCACTTTAAAAAGTATTGAAATTTAAATAATGAAGGAGTCATCATTGTTAAGAGCTGAACACAGTAAGACTTTTCAAGGTCATTAAAACGTCACTTACATAAAATGGCATTATTTGTATATATGACCTGATCTAGCTCACAAGTCCACCTTCTCAAATACAATTATTTCCTTATGAATTACTAAAAATTAGCAACTACAGAGCACAATAACATTTTCAAACCTCCTGAAAAACCGAAATATAAATTATGCCTAAGTAAAGTTTGCACTGACAATCTACTTTAGACTCTTTTGTCCATTAATTACATTTTTATAATCTTTGTTAGGAATCTTAAAAATTGTGCTATTTTTGGATACTTAAAAATATGTTATTACTTTAACATACCTAATATCCAATAATTGACTTGCATAAATTTTTGTAGCATTAAAATAGGGGTACACTAAACCTAAATTAACAAGTACTTGAGAATACACACTGCATTCACATACAACTGGCAAACCATACTTCATTGTGGGGTAAGTATGAGTCACTCTGTTTAGCCCTGACTTCTGTGCTCTGGCAAGACAGATCTACTTAGTAGTAGCTAACAGGGTATAACATGATGCTCAAAATGTGCTAAAGTTCTTAAACGAAACACTCTAAACAGTTCTTACTAAAAATCATGGTATCATTTTGTTATCACTAATAAACTGATTTTTAAATATTTTATAATTTTAAGAATTTTAAAACTCTGCATGAAGTCGATTAGGCTGTAATAAGTAGAGACTATGTTTGTATTTAGAAAGGTAAGGGCCAGTCTAAATTAGCCAACAGTTCTTAATAATGGTATTTTTGAGTCAAAATCTACTGAACAAATTCCATTGGAACTCTATAAAAATATTTACCTGTTTACGATTTTTATATTTATTAAACAGACTTTTAAAATATATACAGTATAAATGAAAAAAATAAGGAATACTTCTACTCAATAGGTAATTCTGCATATACTCAATAATTTAAGTAAACCGATACTCTAATTATAAAAAGCATTTCTGCCCACTAATTCATCATTTTCTAATACATTCTCTCTCCTTCAAACAAGCTATAAATAACTGCATGCATTTTGCATCCTCAACTCCAGTGTTAAAAAGGAAAAAAAAAAATCCCCTATTTTTTATGGTGATACCTTCTTAGCAGCTCTTGTGGGGACACAGAAAGGGAACTCAGAGCTCAGTTACCTGAAGTCACATGATCAGAGTATTCCTGGAATGTCTCTAAGAAAAATCATTTTGGCCTCAGTTCACTGACATGTGTACTATCTTTTTGGTTGTTGTTTTTCTCAACAGCTGTAGATTAAAGAAAGCTTCTGCAAATCAACAAGTAAAATATTCACTTAAGAACTTTCTAATTATGTACAGTATATGCTTGATAGTTAAAAATTCTCCAAATAGAGATGCTAGATAATAATGTTATTTTAAATTATTAAATGAGTCTTTACTCAACCGTAAATTACATTTTAAAACTTTAATGGCAACCACACACAAATGTAACTTAAAGTAACATTAAGGATTTATCTGATGTATAGAAAAGCATGATGAAGAGATGAAGGCTGAAACTCCGTTAGTGTAAACGTCACACTACCTCTTACCCAGAACAGGACCACCTGGACTGCTTTCAGCTGTCCTGAAGCACTAACAGGTCTGAAGATGTACATGAGAAATAGAGGTCTCCTGATACTAAATTTAAATATGAATTTGTTCTCCAACAAATCAGACCAGAATATTATCAAATTTTATGTAATTAAATAACATTTAGCAGTCCTTTGTTTAGTAATCTTTTGTATAAATATAAAAATCTCAGCTACATGAAAATGTTTTTTCAAATCATATTTCAATTTTTCAGTTTTATAGGTAATTATAATTTTAGTATTCCACATGATTTGATTATCTGTACATAAAGACTAATAAAAATTTAATAAGATTAAATAGAACTAATTTGCAAGAATTGATATCTGACATTATGTGCTCTTGCAAAGAGTGCATAGAACATGTCTGCAGCAATCAAAAGGTAAACTCTTGTTAACTTCAAGCTTCCTCCTAACATTCCTTCTAATTCTAACCCCTGGAAAGCAGTTCAAGTTTTGATTTCTGGATGTAATGTGTTTTGTTACATATACAGTACACATACTTTATCCTTAAGCCTGTGTATTTTCAAACATTTCAACAATATCATCAGATTCAGCATGACGGTATCTTCACAGAATTTGTGGAAGTCCTCTGTGCAAGATTAATGTTGAGACTCCTAGTTGCACCATCATGAAAAGCCAATTAAAGACAGTACATGACTATGCTTTAGTGGGATTTCCTGTAGGTTTGGGATCATAACCATATAAGAAAGTAGCTGCTATTACAAGGATGGCTCCAAGGAAAAAGACACTAAATAAGATGAAGGAAAAATAAAAAGAGAAAATCAGATTATAAGCAAATCAAGTTCTTTTTACATCTTTACTATGAAAACAATTTTTCCTTATGGGGAAAATGTTCCAGTACCATGGTTAATAAATCCTGCATACTTCCTACATTCCAGGCATCTAAGTGCTTCTCATGCATTATCTAACAAAGTTCTCACAAGAAGTACAAGTGCTATCTTCCTATTTAAAGAGTTTAAATAACTTGCTTAAAGTCCTACCACTTTAAGCAAAAGACAGGATTCAAGTGCAGGTGTGTCTGCTTCTAGCGCCTGCACTCTCATTTACTGCGCTGTCACCCAAAACAGATGGCTTCAATGCTGGGTTTCACTTTACCATGTATCCAGCATACAATACATTCAATAAAAAAAGTCTCAATTCTTTAAATATTTGAATATATTCAACCCTAGGTAACTTCGGTTTAAAATCTAAGGTAATAAAACTCAGGTCTGATTTTCATAGGATGCTTAACAAAAGGACGTTAGATTAAATACAGGGAGTCTTGGTCTCCTCCTTATCTTACCTGTAATTATAATCTACATAACTGGAAATGATGTAAACAAGACTACCAATCTTAACTTTTAATATATATGTTTTTAAAAATACTGTTGGCAACCGGGCGCTGAGGGCTCAGTAGCTATAATCCTAGCTACTCAGGAGGCAGAGATCAGGAAGATCACAGTTCAAAGCCATCCCTGGGAACGAGTTAGCAAAGACCCTATCTCACAAAAACCCATCACAAAGGCTGGTGGAATGACTCAAGGTGTGGGCCCTGAGTTCAAATCCAAGTACCACAAAAAAAAAATTACTGTCTGAGACAGGAATTAGCCTTGGTTTTAAAGTTTGCATTAACATTTCAAAGTCCTTCTCCTGACCTAAGTTTTTTTAAGGTTTTATAAAGGAAAGAGATCCTTTCTATGACATCAGAGGCCTTTCTTTTTTTGAGATTAGGTCTTAATGTGCAGTCTAATAAGACCCTGAACTTTAGATCTACCTTCTTCAGCCTCCTGAGTGCTGGGATTACAGGCACACCCCACCATGCCTGGCCAGAGGTCTTCTTAATATGGTCCCTCCAACCTCTCCTCACGCAATCTATAATTCAGCGACTGGACTCAATGGGTTCTTTCATAATACTGCCATGGACAATGCTATTTGCTCAGTCTACAATAGGTATATACTCGTAACAATCCAAGTCTACGTCTCCAAGACTCACTCCTCTAGACAGAGCTCCCCATCATAACATTCACTGTTTTAAATAATGTGTCATAGCCAAGTGCTATGGCTCACATCTATAATCCTAGCTACTTGGGAGGCTGAGGTTAGGAAGATCACAGTTCCAAGACACCCCAGACAAACAGTTCACAAGAACCCATGTCCAAACTAACCAGAGCAAACTGGATAGGAGGCATGGCTCAAGCAATAGAATGCCTGCTTTGCAAGCGCAGCCCACCAAAAAAATAAAATTAAATTAAAAAATAAGTAATATGCCATCTACCCTCTGCTCCACTGCTCACCTAACTGTGTGCTTGTACTTCACTGCTGTCCCCTAGTGCCTGGCAGATACAGGCAGCGCGATAACTATAGTGAGGACTTGATGCAATGGTAACTTTTCAGAAGTCTTACATGCACTCATTATACCTTTAAGATTAAGATAAAAGAAAACAGCCTGGCATGGTGACATGCTTGGAAGGCTGAGACAGGAAGACTGCGAGCTCCAGGCCAGCCTGGGTTGCACAGTGAGACCCTCTCAAAAACATAAATGTAACAAAATAACATAGAACTTCCTGTAAGCATCTTGAAGAAATTACACATAATGCTATGAAAAAATGATATGCACAAAACACTGGTATTTAACCAGCGTTTTTATACAGTAATACTTGTTTGATTAAATGCCAACAGCAAAAATTGTATTACTTTCAGCCATTAAAACGTAGGATTTTTATCTGGGCGCCGGTGGCTCACCCCTGTAATTCTAGCTACTAAGGAGGCAGAGATCAGGAGGATCGCAGTTCAAAGAAGCCAGTTCATGAGACCCTATCTTGAAAAACCCTTCACAAAAATAGGGCTAGTGGAGTGGCTCAAGGTGAAGGCCCTGAGTTCAAGCCCCAGTACTGCAAATAAAAAAAAAAAAGGTAGGATATTTCTCTAACACCTGAATATCCACAGGAATAATAGATAATTAAGCTCTGGATAAACTTGTCTGGACACTTGCTTCATAAGTCATTACGAACTTTTTTTCTTCTGAAGTGCATAGACTGAAAGTTTGTGTTCAACTGATGTCTGATCCAACTTTCTACCCACTGCAGGAATCCCTTCTTTGAAAACTCTAATGGGATCCTCTTGAATACCTAACAATGTCATAAAACCCCTGCATCTCAAGTCACCAGTTTTTAGATGATTCTGAGAAGAGCTGGTAGAATGGCTCAAGTGGTAGAATGCCTGCCTAACAAGTGTGAGGGCCTGAGTTTCAACCCCAGCACTGCAAAAATTAATTTTATATGTGTCATGGTTCTGAAGAAAAATTTTGTTAGGGGAAAAAAAGTCTATCCAGATTTGGCATTGACTAGCAGACTTATAACACTAGTGCATACTTGTAACATTTGGTAAAAGGATAAGCAAGCCAAAATGGAATCATGATAATACCAGTAAACAAAGTAGGGAGTAAAGAAAGCTAGGTTAGGAAAGTGAGTATATGAGAAAGGTGATATTCACAGAGACGTCTAGCACTTGAGACAAAATCAGGATCTAGAGGGTTGGAGATGTAACTCACTGGGAAAGCACTTGCCTAGGTTCTATGGGGCCCTGGGTTTGATCCCTAAAACCACAAAAAGGTGTGTGTGGGTGTCAGGGGGAGTATTACAGAGTTTAGGTGGAATTGGAACTTACCTTCATACAGAAGGCAGGGAAAGAGCAAAGAACCTGACAAGCTAGCAAAGGAATAACTAGGAAGGCATAGCACCTCAGAGAAGCCAAAAGTTTGAGGAGGTAGAATGGAACAAAGACTTAAAAGCACAAAGATGGTAGCGCTTCATTCTTCCAATCGCTTAGGCATAAATCCCCTCTACTTAGAACAGTTCACCCATAGTTAGCTGAGAGAAAGGTGGTGTGTAGAGAGAGTTACAGGTAGGTTTATAAAAGGAAAGTAAAGTGCATGGAACTTCTTTGTTTTCTGAGTGGAGTAAAAAGTATAGTCATTAGCTTCTCTCACTCTTTTGTTTCTAATTCAGAGAAAATTTTTGTCAACTCTTCCTTTTTAAAATCTTCACAAACAGACCATTTCTCATAACCTCCACTTGCTACTGACCTGGTCCAAGCTACCCTCATTCTCTCGGGTTTAAGGAAATAGTTTTCAGACTTGTCTATTTGCCCAGGACCCCCAGTCTTTTCCATTCAGTAGCCAGAATGATTCTTTTTCAGTGTAAATCAAATATGACACTGCTGTGCAGAAACTAATTGCTCCCCAGCCCACAAGTGGGATCTGGCTCTCAGCTACTGAACTGCACTCATCTGACATTACTTTCCTTCTCATTTTTCCTTAAAGCCATGGTGACCTCTTTTGCTTTGGGCTTTGATTTGCCCTTCTGTCTTCTTGGAGTCCTACTCCTCTTCACACACAAAGGGCGTCACTTCTTCAAGTCATGGCCCAAATGGCACTCTTATCAAGACTACCCTAAATAAAAGAATACCTTCCTCTATTAGAACCTACTCTTTCCTTCTTTTTCAGAAAACTTATCACCATCAGAAAGTAAGCAGGGCTTTTCCTTAGCTTATAATAGGTACTCAGAATATCTGTTGAAACACTGTTCAAAGTCTTAAAATTTTAACATAGCTTAAAATGAATTTCTTAAAATGCATCGTTTAAAGTTAGTAAAACAGGATTATGGATGAAACTGGCAGTAAAAAAATGTGCTCTGTACTTCTGTACTGAACATTTATGGTTTAATTCCTCTAGCAGCCTGCACAATCAATAGGTTTAGGACATGTATGTTGAGATTTGTAATTTTTCATAAACAAAAATTTTTTAAGTTTCTTTTTTTCCAGTGTGACGTGGAATGAATCATGTAGCTAGTGAGACTAGCCTAACAATTCACACCTCTATCTTGACAATGTTTTACTCTGTTCATTAGATAGGGGAGCTATGTACTTTAATGTTGATAATTTTAGAATATGCACATTTTTGAGATGTATTTTAAAAGGCATAACCTTAAAAAAATTAAAGTACATATAAGGCCAAGGGACTAACCTTAAATGTTTGAACACAAGTAACATGAACAGGTAAAACAACAAGGACAGTAAGTTATATGCCTGCACATAAATTCATGTTTCAGAGGCAATTTACATGTTGGGATGAAAGGGAAAAAGTGACACTGCTATTAAACTAAGGAATGAGAATATGCCCAGCACCCCAAGGCAGATGGAGAAGATGGATTACTTCTTGTCAAATAAGTAAGATAGCTCCCCACCTTTTTTACTGTTAACTTTTGGTACTGAGGACTGAATCTATAGCATTGTGCTTAGCCACCTTTATGCATTCTTACTTTTAAGAGAGAAATCCATTGACCCTTTCTCAATGAAGATTCAACTTTATTTCAAATGTAATTTACTAAACTGGGAAACACAGCTGAGTTAGGGCATGAGCATCCACTAGATGTCGGAGTGAAACTGCTGACTAGGCAATAAGAAAAATGAGCATGGACTGCAAATGGAAATGAGAATTTAAATGAGGATGAGTGAGTATGGATGAAAGATCTTAGGAGACTCCCAGGTTGAGAATTTGAGAAAATCAGGAAGGCAATGAAGCTGGAGGAAAGCCAAGACTAGTGTCCCAGCAGCCATTACAATATCCCATTAGTATAAGATTATAAATTAATTGCAAAAAGATTAACACAACCTTCACTACTATCTGTAATGGATACTCATCACACTCAGAGTCTATCTCCTCCAGTGGCATCCATAATGCACACAGCCTGGTCTCCTGCTGCAATTCCTTTCCAGACTGCTCTTCCTCCTGCTACCACTTAGCCGCCTCCTCCACGTAAGCTGACTTCAAGCTGGTCATGTACTCTCCTGGCTTTTGCAGCACAAGTTATGTTTTAAATATTTGACTTATTTTATGACTTTATGTGACTTACTCTCTTTTTTTGGTAATGTTTTTTTTTTTTCTTGCAGTACTGGAGTTTGAACTCAGGGCACGTACTTACTAGGTAGGCATTCTACCACTTGAGCCATGCCCCAACCATGTATTTAGTTTTAAATCTTTACAAAGAGAGTTAAATAGATTTTAAATATTTTCAATGATCTTTTTAAAGTTTAATTATTACAGAATAAATTTATTGGATCACCTTAAGAAAAATTCTTATTTTTCCTTAAACTTGTGGGTATTTAAAGAACTAAATAGGAGGATGTTGTAACACAGTAATCCCAGTACTAGGGAGGGAGAGGCAGGAGAATGGTGAGTTTGAGGTCAGGTCAGCCTGGGCTACATAGTGAGTTCCTGTCTTAAAAGAAAAGAAATAGAAAAGAATATTTTACCTGGTTGGCACAAAGTCTTGTAGCCAAAAGTAGGAGATCACTGTTGATAATATTATGGATAAGGAGGTTGCAAAGCCCTTCAAAATATTATCCGCATATTTAATTACAGCAGCTATCACAAGGCCTCCAAGTGCCTGCAAAAGTTTAAGAGATTAATTCTTTAAACAAACATAAAACTGCTTTTCCAATTTTATTACTCAGTGAAGGTTTAAGGCTTTTGTCTTTTAAATGTAATTTATAGTAAATATCTCTCATAACCAGTAAACTTCCAGGGCTTGTTCAACAGCCCTCTTATTTCAAAAGGTATCTAATAAGGTAACTACGAGAGACATGTGAAGTTTGTTGCAATAACTTTGATCATATTATGGAAAAAAACCTACCCTAACTCAAGGTGTAATTAAACAGCACAAATGAGGAAAGGCTGCTCACTCAGAATGGTGAAATATTTTTACCTTTGAGTAAAATTAAATAATTCAAAATAATTTACTAGCTTTTCAATGGCCCCATTCAAATTCAGTTCTCACTGTTGTCAAATCATTCTTCCTCAAGTGCAGTTTTAATTATGTAGTTTGACAAAAATATTCCAGTATGTAATTATGGAAGTAGTTTGACAAAAATCTCCAAATATGTAATTATCAAATAAAGCTAAAATCTTGCATAATTAAATATCTGGATCTTCTTTTTGGGTCTTCAATGGAATGACCACAGCCTTTTTGTATAGTGGTAAGGACTATAAAAAAACAAATCTAAAGTTTTATTTGTCCTTACCTTCATGTTTTTTTTTTTTTTGAGGCTGAGTCTCACTATTGTAGCCCAGGGTGGCTTCAAACTCATGATCCTCCTGCCTCAGCCTCCTGAGTGCTGGGATTACAGGCGTGCACCACACCTGGCAACTATATTATTCTTAAACTTGCATTTTCATGATGTTAAATTTAAATACCACCAAGTTATATTCATGGTCCTTCTTTAAAATAAAAGAAGGACAGGTTCATTAGGGCAGTTCCATTTTAACTTCCCTGAGTAAACGAGCTACAATGAGCTGCCCCTGGAACCAGGACATCAGTAGCTACTTTGAGTCTATATGTTTAAGTAATACTTACTAGCATCCAATAAAACATTTTACATGCTTTACCTGAAGAACAACAACTATCCATGTCAGGCGGTTATATCCCTGAAAAAATCCATTCTTTGATACCAATTCTCCATCATAAACATATACCCCCATTAATCCAAATATACTCCCAAAGAAACCTAAAAAAAAAAAAAAAAAAAAGGCAAAGTCTATGTCATACGTGATTTAGTTTTCCCGAAAAAAGAATTTTGTGTTGACATTCCAAGTAATTTTATGCTTGTTCATTTTTGGGTGTTTGTTCATTTGAGAGAGAGTCTTGCTATACAGCCAGGCTGGCCCAGAACTCAAGATCTTCCTGCTTCAGCCTCCCAAGTGCTGGGATTACAGGCATGCACCACCACACCTGACTTAACTTCTGATGAAATTTGAATACTTTTAAATTTTTTTCTTAGTTTATATAAACTCAACAAAAGTATACTTAGTACTATATTATGCTTATAAGACAAAGACCTAAGGATATAAAAAGACAAAGACATAAGAATATAAAAAAGAGCCAAGCACCAGTGGCTCACAACTGTAATCCTAGGTACTTAAGGGGAAGACTGTGAGGATCGAGGCTCAAGACCAGTGAAAGCTTGGGTGTCATACCAAGTTACATAGGAGGCCCTTGCAATACCCCTTCTCAACAGAAAAAAGCTGGGCATGGTGGAGTATGTCATCCCAGCAACAGTGGGAAATCTAAAATAGATCAAACCCCAGCCACCAAGAAAAATAAAGAAATGGATAAATGAATGAATAAATAAATAAAATGAAACAAAGTTAATCAACCTTGGAGCATTAAAATATAATGCATAAATTACATGAATACATGGCTATGTCATTCATAGCCATGAATTTATAAAATGCTTGCCTTTAGCATGTCCTTGTTAATGTATCTCCCTATTGGTATATCTAAATTTTTATGTTACATTCATATATGCACATACAAAAGGTCACACATGTGAAAAGCATTTCTTATGTATTTAGAAGTTTTGAAAGTACAATAATTAAAAATCAAAAAAATCAGGGCTAAGAAACAGTCATAAACCATCAGACTCTGGATGTAGCACCAAAGTCACCGTTTGGCAAAGTCAGCTGAGTGAAGTAGAATCCCTCACCTCTACCACACAGCCTGTCACGTGACTACTGAATCAGGAGGCTCCCAGGAGCACTGCTGGGCGATGGATACCTACAGGGACCACTTTGGAATACATGCACAGACTTTGGAATACATGCAGTCACAAAGACAGCAAAGGTAAAATGATCTTTTTCAAATAAAGCCTAACTAGGCAGTTTTCCATGATGGAAAGAAACTGAAAAAGTGCCCTAAAATTTCACTGATTTCTGCTCTATCCTTTTAATGTATCTAATATTGATCATGAAATTAATGCTAGCATGTAAATACAAAAACATACCTGAAGGTATTAATTTTTAAAATATAATGTGTAAAAATGAAATTGGTAACTACTAAGAAACATTTAGTACATACTAGAGTTTGGAGCTAATGTCCACCAAAGGCCTGGGTGTTACCAGCTTGATCTCTAGCTTGTGGCACTGTTGGGAAGTGGTGGAATTTTTGAGAGGTGGGACTTAGTGGGAGGTCTTAGCTCATTAGGGGGTGCCCTGAAAGGGGACTGTGGGACTCTGATCTGTCCTCCTCTCCTTCTCAGCTCCCAGAAGCTGAGCAGCTTCCTCTGCAATGTGCTCCTGCCACAATGCTCTGCCTCACCACAGGTCCAAAACAAATGGGGCCAGCTAACCATGAGTGGGAACCTCTAAAACTTGTGAGCCAAAATAAACCTCCTCCCTCTCCCTGCCCCGCCCCCACCTTTAATTTGGTAGCACTGAAGTCTAAACTTGGGGTCTCCTGCTGGCTAGGCCACGTGAATCACAGCCCCCCACCCCTTTTTGCTTTTTAGTCATTTTTCAGATAGGTTCTCAAGCTTTTGCTCAGGGCCAGCCTCAGAATGCCTCAGATTCTCCTACCTATGCCTGCATTGTAGCTGGGATTACAAGTGGGTAACATCAAACTCACTTGTTTGCTGATAGGGTCTTGCTCATTTTTTCCCAGACTGGCCCTGAACTGCACTTGATTCTCCCAATCTCCACATCCAGAGTGGTGCAGACATGCACCACCATAACCAGCAAACCTTCTCCCTTTATAAGTTATTATAGCTGGGTTATGTTACAGAGATAGAAAGCTGACTAGCAGTAACAAGGAGCCATGCATATCATACAGGTCAGGAGGTACAGATCTACCTCATTCTAACTGTTGAACATTCTACTGTCTGGTGATAATACAAAATATGTATATGAACTATGTGTCAGGAATTGATTGTTCAAGTGAGTTATGTACATGAGTGCACTACAAACCTGCCCACTTTATAGAAGAAACTTGTCCAAGTTCACACCCGTAGGCTCAGATTCTAGAATCCAGGGTCCTTTCCCCGCTCTTTGGAGTCCATGATCTTAATCACTACACTATTTAATCAAATCAATACTTTACTTAATGTCAGTCCTCTGTTTTCTATTTTTAAATACTGTAACCAATGTTGAAATGAATAACCTGAGACATCTATATTTGAACTCAGGACCTCACACTTGCTAGATTTGGGTTTTTTCAAGAAAAGTTCTCTTTTGTCTGGACTGGCTTCAAACAGATCTTCCTGATCTCTACCTCCTGAGTAGGTAGGATTACAGGTATGAGCCACAGGTGCCTGGCTTACTTTCTCAGAGGAAAAAAAAATGGTACTATGAAAGTTCAGTGATTTTGTTACCATACTACTTTAAATATGTTACCATACTACTTTAAATAGCTGGAATGGCAGATTTTAATCAAACTTATGGCATGACTTAAAATACAGGCCACTGAAAGCACAACATGCGGTATAGGACTGGAAAGGCCTGCACAACTGCTGATGAAGAGCGGTGTGGTAGATGTATGTGGACTGGAGCGGGGGACATGTTTTCAAAAATAATCCCCAAAGTTACAAAAACAGAGGTTTAAAATAGAATGTGTTGATTTGCAAATGAGCTGCTTCATACACAGTTTTATAGGTAGCACTATCTAAACTATAAGCCAGGAATAATAAATGTTGGAATTTTTGTATGAGGATCTAAATGCAACAATCCATGAATAATTTAAATATTTGTTCAAAGGCAATCCTTCAACCTGTGGAATATTTTTTTTCTTTTAAACTATTTATTTTCAGTTAGAAAATACTGTGGTATTTAAGAGTCAAAACATAACACTCTGAAATAAAAAGGCATGTTAAGATTTTAAGCAGAGTGAAAAGATCAGCATTTTCAATTCCTTTCATTACAGTATTTGAAATTCCCTTTCTAGGAATAAAATACGTGAGAAAAATTATAAGGGAAATTATCTGGGAAAAAAGTAACAACAAACCACACCTACAGCTCCAAAAGGTAAGGACAGAAACAAGCTACATTCTTATGTCATCAACTTAAAATTCTTAAATTAAGGCATTCATTTAAAATATAAGTATTTATTGATTGATTGATTGATTGGTGTACAGGAGTTTGAACTCGGGGCTTTGTGCTTGCTAGGCAGGTGTTCTACCACCTGAGCCACACTTCCAGCCAAGTATTTGCATCAACAGCAGATTTTATGCAAGATTTATTTATTTAAAGGTATACAGAAATCTGTACACATAAGAATACAATGTTCTTTTTTTTTGAAACAGGGTCTCCATATGTAGCCCAGGACAGCCACAAACTCTTGAGTCTTCCTAGTGCTGGGATTACAGATGTGCACCACAATGCCTCGCTAATACAATCATTTTTAAAAACAATATTAGGAAGCACTTAAAACTTACCAAGCTGAATGTTTCTTATCCACACGGACTGCTTTGTTTCTTTTAAAATTTTCTCAAAATAAACTCCAGCAAAGCCACTTGAAAAACATGCTATGAGAACTGCCATGAGGCCTACAAACTGAGAGCCAGCTGATAGTTCCTTAGAATCAAACTCCTGTGAATCTGAAGGCCACTGAATAAAAACAAGAATAAAATTGAAGAATAAAATTCCTGCAGATTTTACAAAGTACACGGTAAGAGCCAGCTCTTATTATAAATGCATCCGACATCATTGTTGGGAACTGCAGAGGAGAGCATCTGAGAGACACCATAGAATAATTTGTCTTTCCCTACAAGGACATTACTATTTAAACTTAGAATTTCAAAAATGCCCCAAGGAACAATAAATAGTTTACATTTCATCTCTTATGGAGGCCAACCTGTTATTTTAAGATACTCTTTTAGAGCCACTATTCCAGCACTTTTTTGTGATGGGTCTTGTTTCAAGATAGGGTGTCGTGATCCTCCTGATCTCTGGCTCCTGAGTACTACAATTACAAGAGTGAACCGCTGGCACCTGGCTTAGAGTTCAATCTTTAAGTCACCATTACAAACACAGGTAGGTGAAAGCATGAGCCCTTTCCATCCATTCCCTCTGCTGCTCAGCCAAAGCACAAGCAGGTGGACAGAGATCCACTGACCACGCATAATAAAGGAAGCTGTGAGGAAGGGACTCCAAACACTGCCAGGGACAGCCCATGAGAACATGAAGGAAAATTCTGAATCCAGAGAAAGGAAGCATGTTGGAAGTGTAAGCAAGGTACCAGGCATGGTTCTCACTAAAAGGCAGCAGACACAGCCAGCCAATGCCCAGTGATTTTCTTCCTCATGTAGTTCATTCCCGATTCCTGTTCTACTAGCTGGACTTTTATTCTTTTGGCGGTACCAGGGTTTGAACTCAGAGCTTCACACTTGCTAAGTAGGTGGTTCTACCACTTGAGCCACACCTCCAGCAGCTGGACTTCTTAAAGCCACTTTCCTTGTGAAACTATATTTTTCGTCACTATTATGCATTAAATAACTTTAATAACAAAATTGTTTGTTTCCTATTCAGCTTGCCCTCACTGTGGCACCAACAATGTTATATTGATTACCAATTCCCTGACTCTTGAAACCATTTTTTGTTGTTCCATTCCTCCCATTCTTTAGGCTGCACTACTCAGCAGACTTTTTTGTGAGGATAGAAATGTGTATCTTTGCACATACGGATGATGGCTACTCCTAGACTGTGTTAATGTGACTGTGGAAATGAAATCCTAAGTCTAAACAGCCACATGTGGCTTGCAGCTGTCTGACAGCTGTATGCACAGTTTCTACTCAGCCCTTAGCTGCAGAGCTGATTCATAGAGGCACTGACATCTTCCAAACTGAGTCCAAGATTTCAACTGCTATAATTCAGAAACTTGCTACTTCCCTAAAGCCAATGTGACTAAAATATATGTTTCTTTCTCTAAAACAAGCGCATTTTTTAAAATTTATTTTTATTTTGCCATACTAGTCATTTGAACTCAGGGCCCACACTGAGCTTTACCACTTGAGCCACAGCCCCAATCCTTTTTCCTTTGTTTTTCAGAGATGGTCTCAAGCTTTTGCCTAGGCCAGCCTCAGACTGCAACCCTCTGACACCTGTGTAGCTGGGATTACAAGCATGAACCACCACATCCACTTATTCTTTCAGATAGAATCTCACTGTCTTCTTCCCTGGTGCTGGACTAAAACTGCAGTCCTCCCAAGTAGCTGAATTACAGGCACGAGCCACACACTGAGCCCAAACATACCCTCTTGATGCCTTTATTTCTTTAAAAAAAAAAAAAAATGCCACCAAAAAACTTGCCTTTATTCTCGTTAGTTTCAAACTCATATTGATTTGATTCTCCCCTTATACAACTATTTGGTGTGTGTGGGTGTGTGTGAGTGTGCTAGGCAAACTTTTTCCAGTGAGCTACATCTCAGGCCTCAAGTCAATAACTGCATCACCACTCTGGGATATTCCAATAGCAGTTACTTACTGGACACTTAGCTCCCTGTCATGCTAACTGCCTTCTGCTCCTGAAAGCTTTCTCCTCACCACTGGGCCCTGCACACATACAAGACACCCCTACCACCAATTATGCCACTGTCCCTTCCAAAGGCAGTGAAGTCCTACAGCTCAAAGAGGTTGAGCCTGAGCTCCTAGCCCAATACTGCCATATGTAATTTGGCACCCATTTGTGTTTGGTCATTTCATCTTGCACAACATCTTCTGCCATCCTTCATTCCAAGCAAGCACTGCCATTCCTCACCCTGCCTGATGCTAAGGCACAGCTGCATTTTTTAGACCCTCTTCTTGGCGTGGCAAGACCTAGACTCTGAACCTGTTTACACAGTGTGCATGTCAAACACGCACATTCATAAGTCTCTACCACTCAACTTAAGTAAGCTACTAGCAGTCAACATCCGTGTTTCACTGCTCTGCACTTCCAGGACCTAATAAGCAGGATTCAGACATAGCTCAGGATCAGGAAAAAGTAAATGACAGCTGATTTTACATAATCAGTACAGATTGCTTCTGGAACTGAAACCCAAACAGTGGAAGAAGTTTTAAGGAACTTTATTTCTGGCTCTGTCACTACAAGATTTGTGACCGTGAGCAATTTAATTAACTTGTCTGGGAACTTCAATTATTCTTCTCCAAGTCAGACAGAATATTTACTTTAAACAGGTATTACATAAGGTAATACAAGACAGGCACCAAGTGTGTGCCTGGCATATAAATAGTGAAGAAAGTATTATCTTTCAAAACCTAATTTAAATACAACTTTGTCCCTGAAGCTTTCCTAGAAGTGATCTATACCTACACAGCATAAGAATCACTTGACAGCAAATAATGTAAAATCAAATGCTGTTTGTGTTTCCTGAACTGAAGCTGGGTTTAAATCTTGCTGATTAGGAACTTGAAATGCAAGGAAGCAAAACATGACTACTGTTTTCTTGTAACTTTCTAGCAAGGCTAATTGTAGTAGTAAAGACAGACATCTACATAAACATTTGACATGTATACTATGGGAAATATAAGTACCAAATACTACTGCAGCAGAAAGGAAGGCATAAAGGTTCAGCCTGGAGTGTATGGAAGACACACTGTAGATTTAACACCTTAATTCACTCTTTTAGAAGAAAGAAGGAAGGGTAGGGGTGTAACTCAGTAGAGAACTGGCCTAGCATGTATAAGGCTCTGGGTTCAATCCACAGCATCACCAAAAAAAAAAGAAAGCAAGACAAGTAGATTTAGCCAAGCAAATAAAGGGGACAAGTCATTGTATACACGGGAGACAGAATAAATAAATGTACAAAATAGCATGTACAAGCAGCTTAATCATAGAAACCCAGAATGCGACCTTGAAAAGCAGAAATGAATCTGAGGTTGAAGGTGTTTCATGGAAGGTCCACTTTGACATGAAAACAGTGTTCCTGAAATTTCAGTTGTTTGGCCATCTTCATGGTTTCTGTCAAACCCATTCTCCATTTGAATTATTAATCACTTAATATTTCAATTTAAAATATCTCACCTTCTTAAAAAACTGTTTTTGGTTTTTTGAGGCAAGGCCTTGCCACATAGCCCAGGTTGGCCTTGATCTCACTATGTAGCCAAGACTGGTCTTGAATTTTCAACTCTCCTTGCCTCTGACTCCATAGGGCAGGGATTACGAGCCTGCACCACCACTTTGTAAAACTTAATAACTACTTTAGGTCATCCTAAGCAGTTTCTACAAAAAGTAAGAGTTTGAGATGCCAGTTATGGTTTTATAATACCCATTTAAAATAATCGTTAAAATATTTATTCAAGGACTGGGAACGTAGCTCAGTATTAAGTGTGTACCCAGCAAATACAACACCCTGGGTTCAATCCCCAGTACCACAAAAATAAATAAATAAATAAATAAAGGATTGAAGTCCAGGCCAGCCCAAGTAAAACTGTAAGCCCTAACTCAAAAATAACCAGAGTGAAAGGGTTAAAGGTATAGCTCAAGCAGTAGTGTGCCTGCCTTGCAAACACAAAGCCCTGGGTTCAAACTCCATACTGACAAATAACAGTATAATCCTCCAAAAAGGATGAGATCCTCATAAATAAGAACATAAAATAAGAGAAGTAACAAGTCTATAAGCAACACCAATCAAAACACAGTATCAGGAAGAGGATTCCATTAAGGAAACCAGTAAGGAATCACTAGAAAGATAGAATTACAAATGTTCCACATAGCCGATAAAATTTTACAAATTTTATTCCCTGACTAGATTGTTCATTTCTTTTCTTTTTTCTCTGGGTGTGGTGGCTCACGCCTGTAATCTCAGCACTTGGGAGTCAGAGGCAGGAACAGCAGAAGTTTCAAGGTCAGCCTGGATTACATAACAAGACCTTCTCAAAAAAAGGTATTTTTTTTTGTATGTCGCACATGTTACACAAAGTACATTACACCGCAGCCCAATTTTTTATTTTTTTAAGTAAAAAAGTTTTATTTTTATTTATTTATTTGTACCATTTACAGCTTCAATATAGTATCCTGCATGAAGTAAATCTTCAAAAAATATCTATCAGCATTTCTTTGCTTTAACAAGAATACAACCATATTTTCCAGGCAAAATAAACAAGTTTTTGAAATGTGATAAAAATCAAAGGTATACTTATCTCAAATAGTTAGTTACCTGTACAAAAGCAACTCCTGTCATCAGAATTACCAGGGAGAGCCACTGGTACACGCCCAGCTTCTTACTAAGCATAGACACAGAAAATAATGCTGTTGTGAGAATTTTCAACTGATATGTGACCTAAAAAAGAAAACAGTGATGTTATTAATGCTTGTCTCTTTCTTGGTTAGAGGGACTATTACAAATGAATTTTAAGTACCTGATAAGTAGCTGCATCTAGATTTGACAGTGCCACATAGAGTAAATTGTTCTGAAGAGTATATATCCCAGATGGAATAGCGAGTTTGAGGGTTTCCATAGGTTTGTTCAGGATTTCATCATGGAGTACTCGATTCAGTGCTCTCAGACTACACTCTAGAGTGAATGAAAATGGGGAAATCAGTAATTAAGTAACTGAATAAATTGCAAATCCTATAGTTCCAGGCCTCAGTTTTCTCACCTGTAAAAAAAGAAACTAAGCTACATGTAAAGATATTTGTAGGTCCAAAATATACCTTTTGGTGCTAATTTCTTAAATGTAAAATGTTACAAGGAAACATATTAAAGACGAGCATTACCCTTCTATTCCTTTACTCTAATATGTAACCAAACTAATTATGTAAATACAAATATGCACACACATATACATGCACATTTATGATAACCAAAAGCTCACAGTATTTATTTTCAACCAAGTATGCTACCTTTATTATAATAACAGTATAAACATTTGTATTCTGTGTATTCCTTTTATCACCAACCATCCATGCTAATTATAACTGGGAAGAAATTAATCATGGAAGAAGGTTAATCAGTTAGGGAGTGGGGTCAGCTACAAAAAGGGAAAGCCCAATTATCATTAGATCAACTTGTCTCACATAGCAGGAGACCAGACCTAAAGCTCCTACAAGAGCTCGGGGACCCAGGCCTCCTCTTACTATGAAGATAAGAGATAGCTTTTGACCTTCACATTTTTGATCCATGAATAGGAAAACAACAGCCTTACAGGTATCTTTCTCTATTTTTTTGGTGGTTTGAACTCAGGGCAGGCGCTCTACCACTTGAGCCACTTGCCAGCCCTTTTTTGGTGTTTGGGTTTTTTTTTTTTTTTTTTTGAGATGGGGGTATCTCAAACTATATGCCAGGGGCTAGCTTTGAACCGAAATCCTGAGCTCTGCCTCCTGAGTACCTAGGGTACAGATATGAGCCATCGGCACCTGGCACCTTACAGGTTATCTTTTGTGTTGACTGACCTAGAACTATGTTGCATAACTACCCCTAGCTTCAGGAGAGCTGGAAAATCAAGTCTGTTCCTTTATTTCCTCCACATTTGAGGTAGAATATGGGAAAGGGATTGTGGAAATGAACTTTGAGCTGGCCAATCTATATTGCTAACCACAACAAATGATAAATGTCTGAAGAACTTTAAGACATATACAAACCCTCAAGAGAGAAAAAAAATCTGAAGAACTCTACCACTTCACCAACAATGACACTTGGTAGTTGGTTTTCTCTCCTAATATGAAACAAAAAAACTCTGATCATGAAAATTCTGAAATGAAGAAAATTTAAAGATTGCTACCTGATTCTCACCCTCTCCTCACCCCAAGTCAAAAAATTGTTAACCAAAAAGTAACTTTTTTCTTAGTTTCATCAGAAAAAAAGTAAAATATTTGCTTATTTTGTAATTTTAAATTGAAATTTTAAACAATTAATGCTATCACATTTTTTTTTCACCAGTGCTTTAGAAAAGGCTTCGTTCTACCAAATTCCATGCCAATTACTGGTATTGTTGAGACTTTTTACTTTTTATCGACCTGAGCCTGTAAAATGTGCCTTGGTGGCTGTGATTCCCGGGCTGCTGGTGAGCCTGATGTGCTGGGTGGGTTTCCCCCACCACCGAGCTCACCTGGCCCTTAGCATCCTCTCATGGAGGGATTAGCCAGCCAGGCCTGCTCTGCTGGGAGCTGCCACCTTTCCTGTTGACTTCTGACTTCTCCTTACTGAGATGTAGGAGCTCTTCGGAACTCTGAAGACCAGTTATTGATGGTTATATGTGATAAAATATCCTCTCTCAAAATGTGGCTTGTCTGCTCACTTGCTTTGACATTGGTATTTTTCATTTTAATATATCCCACAAAATTACCTATCTTTCCCTTTGTAGCATATTTTGCTTTGAAAATTGAGTTTGAAATCATTCATAGTAGCAATGCCACAGTTGTTTTTAAATGCCAATCTTCTATCGACTTGGAATTTATTTTTGTGCACAGCATGTCTATTTGTGCTTCAGCGCCACAATGCAACTGCTCGGGTTAAGCTATCTTTGGCTCTGCCATGTTAAATGCAGTGGGTACTTCCATTCATCTGGATCTCAGCAGCACACTTGTCAATTTCCTGTTCTACTTTCATGATTTTCTTTCTGCTGGGCTCTGCAGCTGCTATGGAAAAGTTGACAGTTAGCAGATGACCCAGCAATTCCACCCTGAACACACACAGAAGAAACGCAGGCAGAGACTCAAGTTCTTGTGTAACCACTTCAGCACTGTTCATTGCTCACTCCAGCGCCACTCACAACTGCCAAAAGGAGGGAACAACCTAAGAACCCACAACACATGAACAAGGAAACAAAATGGAACACATTTGTACACTGAAGTTTTTATCAATAAAAAGAAATAAAGTCTGATAGATACTCTACCATGGATAAACCTTGAAAACATTACACTAAATGCAATGAGCCAGACATAAAAGGACAACAGGTAAATGACTGCACTTATATATCTAAAATAAGCAACATCACAGAGAAAGTAAACTATGAGTGACTGGGGGCTGGAGGTAGAGGTGAATAATTACAGAGTTTCTGTTTGGGGAGATGAAAAAGTTTTGGAAACGGTGGTACTTATACAACAACACAAACATAATTAATGTCAAAAACTTGTATACAAAACATCATTAAAATGACAAATTTTGAGTTTTGTATATATGCATTGCTACAGTTTTAAAAAACTTAAAGCCAGGTATGGTTGCACAAACTGAGAAGGCTGAGCCAGAAGGATCACAAGTTCCAGGCTCCCTGGGCTACACAGAAAGACCTTGTCTCAAAACCCAAGATAATGACGTACTCTAGAATCATCGAGCTGCAAAACTGACAGGGATGCATACATGTTTTTAAGAGGGTGAGTAGGGGTAGGGATGCACCTCAAGGTACAGCATGTGCTTGGCTTCTTTTTCTAGCACCAAAGAGAGCAACAAAAATGTGTAGGTTGGATGGTTCATGAATTACATCTCTATGAAACTTTTAAAAACCTGTATCAAATGAGTCACTACTAGATTAATCGATGTAGCAAATAAGTCTTTAGTAAAAAATTATTATGGACCCCCCCCACTCCAAAGTTCTAACAGTCACAGAATTTACTCTTAATCTCAAATTATTACACTGTAAATGCAAGAAACTATGATTTATGCTTGGCTTTGATCAGAGATAAATCATGATATAGATTAGAATAAAATGGCATTGTCAGAATACTAAAACTGTCTTAATAAAATTTTAAAATATTGAAATGTTCTTAATACTAGGGCAATTAAATAATGCAAGAATTCAAATGTATAGTTCCTATTATATTTACATATCTATAAATTAAATTACTTACAATAATTAAAAAAACAAAACCCCTAGATACCTACTACTGTCTCTGTAGACTAACAAGATGCAGGCCATTATCTTCAAAAGCTCAGCCACAACCACTGCTGTGGAAGACAGATAACGAGGACCCTCCTCTTTTAAAGTCCTAGAGTAACGCATGGTTAGGACCAAACTGGTAGTCTGAAAGACCAAAATCCCCAAGGAAAGGTATTTTAGGTTGGCAGACATTGTTTTATCTTCATTTGCCTGAAAAACAAAACAAACAGGGAAATAAATAAAATTACAAAATCCAGAAACTAATATCCAATCAAAGACATCTGGTTCCAGATGGATGGACTAAGCATTCTATTCTTCCTTCTAATTGGACCACACACAGAAAGTAACCACCAGAAGGCTCTGGAAGGTGAAGAAACAGGCAAACTGTCTAGAGACTATGGGTTTCCAGAGACACCCAGCAATGAAATCCTTTATTTTTATTTATTTTTTTGCCACCTGTACATTCCACACGGGGTGCTAAGGTAGCTCACAGCCTGCAACTGCCAACAAGTGCAGAGCAATCACAGCAAATAGAGCCCTACTTTCTCTAACCAAAAGAATAAGGGCAGCAGTCCTACGGAGCAGAACTCTTCCAAAGGATGACTGTAATCTGTGGGACACAGCCTTGTTTGCCGTCTCTACCCTGAACCAAGGACAGGAAAGGTGGCAACCCTTCCCCCTCCCAACAGTGTGCAGGGACAGAGAATATGGAGCAGAGTGCAGTTGACTAGTTATGCCCTATACAGTGTGAGCACCTGCACAGGCAGTGCCCTTCCTCCTCCCCAGTGGAACCAGGGTCTCAAATACTCAAAGTGTCCGGGATACAGCCCAAAATGAGTATCTCACACCAAAAAAACAATAAAAATCTCAACTTGAATGTATAACAGCAATCAGCAGATAACAATACAGAAATGACCCAGATGGTAGAATTACTAAGAATTTCAGAGAAGCTATCATAAAAATGCAGCAACAAGCAATTATAAGCACTCTTGAACTAATTTTAGACTCCCAGAGGATGAAATAAGTAATACAGCAGTTCTCTTATACCCTTTACACAAATGCAAAGCATTTATATTTTACCTAAAATAATTATCAGTATTACTCCAAGAGACTCACTTTATTTTTTATTTACTTATTTTGATGGTACTGGAATTCATGCCTCTTGCATGCTAGACTTACAGTCTAGCACTGAGTTACAATCCTAGTACCAAGAGACTAACTCAAATATAAAGACTCACATGGGTAGAAAAGTAAACAGACTAAACTGAGACAGTAGTTCAAGCTATTTGGGAGGCTGAGGCAGGAGGATGAGTTGAGCCCAGGAGTTCAAGACAAACCTGGTCAACACAGCCAGAGTCAACCTCAATACAAGAAGGAAGAAGGAAGGGAGGGAAGGAAGAAAAGAAGAAAGTAGAGAGGGGAGAGAGAGAGAAAGGAAGGAGAGAAGAAGGGAGGGATGGGAGGAAGGAAGGAGTAAGGGAGAGAACGAGGGGAGAAGAACGAAAAAGATACCATAAGAAAAATAGGAAAAAAATTGGAGTGACTATATTAATACCAGGCAGAACAGATTACATAAGAATTATTTCTGGTATCAAAGGGTATTTCATAATGATAAAAGGGTCAATACTTCAAGAATTTATAACCACTATAAATGTATATGTGTCTAATAACATAGCTTCATAATATAAAACAAAAACAGAAAAGTAAATCCAATCATAGCTAGAGATTTTAAACCTACTTTTCTCAATAAACAGCACAGATAGATAAAAATAAACAAGTAAACATACTGATAAGGATACAGAGGATCTGAACAATGCTATCAGCCACCATAACTGGTAGACATGGAGATGGCTCCATCCAGACCTTTCTTTAAGGAAAGACTTAAAGCAGAGTATGTGGTTGGCCAATGGCTTTCCCAACCAACATCACATACATCCTTTACCTCATGTGGATCTAAAGATTGAATTCAATCCCAAACAAAATCCCTATAGCTTTTTTCTGATAGAAACTAGAAAGCTGTCTGGGTGCCAGTGGCTCACGCCTGCAATCCTAGCTACTCAAAAGGCAGAGATCAGGAGGATTGCAGTTCAAGGCCAGCCTAGGCAAATGGTCTGTGAGACCCTATCTTGAAAAAACCCTTCACAAATATGGGCTGGTGGAGTGGCTCAAGGTGAAGGCCTGAGTTCAAGCCCCAGTACCACCAAAAAAAAAAAAAAAAACCTAAAAAGCTCATTTTATTTTTTGGTTTTGAGACAGGATCTTGCTGCGCAAGCTCATCTCAAACTCATGAGCTCAAGTGATCCTCCCACCTCAGCCTCCTAAGTATCTGGAACTGCAGGTATGTGCCACTAAATCTCATGAGAGCTGACGTTAAGAAGGAGAGAAAGTGCTGAGCTTCCAGACCTACTGTAAGGCTATGAAAAGCCTGATACTGACGTAAGGACAAAAGTAAAGGTCAGTGGAATAGAATACAGTCCAGAATTAAACTCACAGATCCTACTTGGTGCAACTACTGTAAGTACCTTGTACTGGGTGACTAACAAACAACAGAAATTTATTTCTCAGAGCTCCAGTCTATGGCCATACCACCCTGAATGCACCTGATCTCGTCAGAGTTCTGTAAGCCGAAAGCCCAAGATCACAATGCCAGCATGACCAGGTGCTGGTGTGGTCTCTTTGCTAGGTTTGCAAATGGCTATCTACTCATTATATACTCACATGATGAACAGAGTTGTATAAAGGCATTTATCCCACTCATGAGGGCACCATTCTTATGTCCTAATTATCTCACAAAGGCCATACTTCCAAATATCATCTCATTGGTTAGAATTTCAACATATGAATTTGGAGGAGAGGGCAAGAATATTCAGTCTATTACACCATATGTATGTGGTCAGATGACTTTTCATTGTATGAATTTTTAGGGGTTTTTTTGGCAGTACGGTGGGGCTTGAATTCAGGGCCTTCACCTTGAGCCACTCCACCAGCCCTGTGTGTGTGTGTGTGTGTGTGTGTGTGTGTGTGTGTGTGTGAGAGAGAGAGAGAGAGAGAGAGAGAGAGAGGTTTTTTTGAGATAAATTCTCTTGGACATTTCCCCCAGGCTGGCTCTGAACCTCGATCCTCCTGATCTCATCCTGTAGCTAGGATTATAGGTGTGAGGGCTGTTGGTTTGTTTTTGAAGCAGGGTCTTCCTGTGTAGCCCAGGCCAGTCTCAAACTCATGATCCTCCTGCCTCAGCCTCCAAAATGCTGGGATCACAGACCTGTGCTATGGCCAGATGGCTTCTGACAAAAGTAGCAAACAAAATAACAGTCTTTTTGACAAATAGTTCTGGAACAATGTGATGTATTTTTGGTTTTTTTTTTTTCAACTGAACCTTGCTGGGCACCAGTGGCTCACACCTGTAATCCTAGCTACTCGGGAGGCATAGACCAAGAGAATCAGGATTCGAAGCCACCCTGGGCAAACAGTTTGTAAGACCCTATCTCAAAAATACCCAACTGGGATTACAAACCAGAGGCACCACGCCTGGCTCTAGAATAACTAACTTGAAAAAGCTGATGGCTACCAAGTAAGTATTAGAGAAGATTTAGAGCAAACAGAACTCTTAAGTTGCTAATGGGAATGTAAAGTGGTACAACCACTTTGAAAAGTTGCTAGTTACTGCAAGTGGTACAAGCGCCTTCCTTTCAAGCACAAAGCCCTAAATTCAAACCCTAGCACTGCTCCCCCAAGACCCCGCAAAAAAAGTTGCTAGTTACTTTTTTAAAACAGCAACAACATAATCTTTTCATTTGCTCTGGCAATTCTTCTTAGATGTAGTCAAAAAATTTGAAAAGATCTGTCCACACAAACAATTGTACGTGAACATTCATAGAGCTTTATGGTAACAGCTGGAAATGAAATGACTTAAAAGTCTGTTGGTAGATCCATTATGGACAATACTGTGGCATATCCAGACAATGGTGGACTACTCACCAATTAAAAAAGAACAAAACGCCAATACACACTAAAATACCAAAAATGTCAAAAATTAAGACAGAAAAGTATATGCTTTATAATTCCATTTAGATAAAATTTCAGAAACAGCAACACTAATCTATAGTAAGAGATACAAAGTCAAGGTTGCTCACAGCAAGTGCTGGGGTTGAGGGCTGACTGCAAGGCACAGCAAGGAATTTTTGATGGTGAAGGAAATATTCTGTGTAGTGCCTATATGACTTAAAATGGGGTATTTTATTGCATACAAATTAAAACTCAATAAAGTAGATTTTATACTTGTCTTTGTTTTTTCTTGGTACTCGGGTGTGAACTCAGGGTCTTGCATTTGCTAGGCAGACACACTGACACCTGAACCCCGCCCCCAGCCCCATAAAGTTGACTTTAATAATTAAAGCTTGAGGGCATGCTAAATAGCAGCATTCCTCACCAGGCTTTCCTCCTAGCTCTGGTCTGGCTCTCATGGCTCTGGACTAATGCCAAGGACATTCTGTCACTGTGTTCTTCACCCCAACTATCTTTTCCGTGATTCCATCTTCCACGGCAAATTCTTTAAATGTGAACTATGTTTATAGTGTATCTCATTAGAACTCTCAGTCAAGCTACCATTTATGGTTCTAGAGATATGGTCATTTGTCCTAATTGCTGTAATGTTATATAACTTGTTTAAACAAATTAAACAATCATTATTTAGTGCCTGCATTGACCCAAGTACCATGGTTACAGAGAAACTACTCTCGAAGGCAAAAGTTCAGCTTATGAAATTTGGCAAGTCCCCCCCTTGACTGAATATGCCCCAAGCACAAGCAACAATCAATGTCACACTATAAATATAAGGATGATTTTTTAATGGTAAAATATTCAAGTTCACAACTAAATACACACAAATAGTCAGGTGCCAGTGGCTCACACCTGTAATCCTAGTTACTCAAGGGGGAGAAAGCTGGAGAATTGTGGTTTGAAGCCAGCCTGAGCAAACAGTTCCCAAGACCCTATCCCAAAAAGAAAACCCATCACAAAAAAAGTGTTGCTAAAGTGGCCCAAGGTGTAAGCCCTGAGCTCAAATGCCAGTACTGCAAAAAAAAAAAAAAACACACATACAAATATAAATATATATATGTATATATACATATATTATTGGAAAATCATCTTAAGCATTTCACTTGCATTTCAGAGACAAAAATTAAACACCCATAGGAAAGAAAAAACAG